ATCAAAATAATAACAAAAGAAATTTTCAGTAAATAATATTGTATATTTACTAAATATGCACAATTAATTTATTCTATCTTGTTACAATTTTATTATTATTTAAGTATTTTGTAATTTATGGTCAGGAACTTTTATGGCAACACTGTACGTAAACAGGAAGATCAACCATGATACAAAGATGAATGAAACACGAAGATCAACCATATTTGTCTTATGAGTCTATCGAAAATATCATGTCTATAGACTTGATATTAACTCCTTTTTCTATGTTGGAAACAATGAAAGCATGTTAAGCGCATCGTATGTATAAAATTATAATTGTTATAATTATTACATCTTACCTATGTTAGTATATAGGTAATTATGCAATAAACTTGGCTTATAACAACAGCAAAAATGTTAATAAATACTTGTCTATGTGTTTTATTTTACGATAACCTCTATGAATTATTTCGGATATTTATTTTTATCGCCATAGGTACCTACCATTTCTCTACTAAAAGTCTTATTAAGTCTGAAAAAGTCTTATTAACTCTTCCAGAAGACTCCCAAATCTTGCTATTAGTCTGACTTAATAAGACTTATTCAGACTTTTTCCGACTTAATAAGTCTTATTCTGACTTTTTCCGACTTAGTATTATTCAGACTTTTTCAGACTTAGTATTATTCAGACTTTTTCAGAGAAAGTAAGACTTTCTCAGAGAAAAATTTCCACAAGGGCACCCTTAAGGAAATAGAAACCATAATAAAAAACATGAACAACAACAAGTCACTAGGATACGACAACATCAAACCACTATTACTAAAAAATCTGGTAAGCATAATAGGACCTACAATAGTAAAACTAATTAACGAACACATCAAAAAGGGAACTTATCCAGAAGAGCTCAAAATAGCAAGAATCACACCCATTTGGAAAGGTGAAAAGAGACAATATCCGAGCAAACCAATTGCAAATCTAACTACTTTAAATAAGGTGTTTGAAAAGGTTATACACAATAGATTATATGATCACATACAAAACATACATTTTCTGACACAATCTCAACACGGTTTCAGAAAAAATAGAGGCACAACAACGGCCTTGATCGACCTGCTAGAATTTACACAGACACAACTGGACAACGGAAAATGCGTAACTGGTCTAATATTTGACTACAAAAAGGCGTTCGACACAGTGGACTTGGTCACTCTCGGCACTCTCGGCAAAAAATTGGAGGAAGCTGGAATACACCAAAATGCCCTGGCTTTGCTTACATCATACTCAAAGGGAAGGAAAATGTACACAACAATAGGATCAACGCATAGTGATGTCCAAAATGTCGACTTTGGAGTGCCTCAAGGATCGATACTTGATCCATTTCTATATATCATCTACATTAATGACTTATACAAATTAAATCTAAATGGAAAGCATATGATGTAAGCAGACGACCTCGCAATCTTCTATGTAAACAATAATAATAAAGCCACTCAACAAAATATGGAGCAAGACCTGGAAAAACTGGAAAAATGGACAAACGACAATCTCTTAACACTAAACGAAGACAAATGTTACATAATCCACATAGAAAAAAGGCCAAAGACACACAACAATAAATTAAAATTAAAGGGCAAAACTTTGAAAGAAGTACAGCAAATAAAATATCTAGGACTTACCATAGATAGACGTCTCACCTGGAAGAACCACATACAACAACTAGCCACAACTCTAGCATCATATACATGCTTAGCTCACAAACTAAACAATGCATTACCTACACAACAAAAAAACATAGTCTACCACGCGTACATAAAGCCAAAACTAACCTACCTCATAACCTTTTGGGCAACAGGAGAGAAATCTAACCTAAACTACCTACAAAGCAGGGACCCGGACCGAAATGAAATATCGGTTCCGGTACGGTTTTGGTTCACCCTATTTTCGTTTTAATGGTTCCGATTCCGGTTTCGGTTTCGTGGAGTTATAACGGTTCGGTTCTTTTCGGTTTTAAGCGGTTCCAGTGAGGTTATTTGTTTTACGTAATTTTAATCTATAACCTCATATATATATATATATATATATATATATATATATATATATATATATATATATATATATATATAATGTTATTAGAATGAAAGCAAATAAAGGTTTCGGTTCCGGTCCAACAGATTTTATCAAAAGCGAAAACGGTTCCGGTTCGGGTTTCGGTTCGGAAAAAAAAACCGGTTCCGTTCCGGTTTTCGGTTTTTTTCGGTTTCGGTCCGGGTCCCTGCTACAAAGACAACAAAACAAGGTCATAAAAATCTTGTACAATCTAAAAAAAGACATGTCAACCGCATATGTCTACCAAAGCACAAAATTGTTAAACATAGAGGAACTGAGGCAGACTGAAACCTTAAAAATAGTCCACCAAATACGGGGCTTGAATGCCAAAATGAATAGTGAGCTTCACAGCTATAATACAAGGGGAAGGGACACTTACAGATTGCTAAAGTCCAAAACTAAAATGGGGGAGAGAAGACTGGCTTCAGGAGGAGTTAGTTTGTACAACAATTTGCCCGAGAGCTACAAAAACAGGACTGACAGCCAATTCAAAAAAATGATAGTCCAGCATATAATTAGTACTAGGAAAGATCTGTGATATAAACGAGACATTTATTTACATATTTGGGCGTTTCTCTGTAGACTGGGCAACTCATTGTCTCAAGGTAATATTGTTTAGAAAAATAACAGATCATAAATATTTCGTAGATAACTTCAAAAGACGCACTCTGATATGTGATCCTCTCTCAACAACAACAACGGAGGAGGAGGAAAAGAGAGAGATCACATATCAGAGTGCGTGTTAAAAACCAGTCCCCTGACGTGTCACCAAAGCAAAATGGTTACTTCAGACTAAATTAATTAAAGACAGTAACTATTGGAATCAACCTAATTGTTTAATTATTCAACCAATATTGTTTGCTTGTTACTGTGACTTATTTATTTTTTATAATTATTATTTTGTAATTCTAAAAAAGTCATCTAAACTTTGTCTCTGGATTTTATAAACAGTCCCCTGTATAGATTTTTCAGAAAATGCTCAATGTTTTCCAAAGTAATAGGAATATTTTTGGTTCATCTGCCGTATACTAATAAATAGACCGATATTTATTCCTCGAAAAACATTTATTAAATACAACAAAAATATAACAAAAAAACTTGCCTAGACAATTTCTTACTTCAAGTTGCCCAGTTTACAGAGAAACGCCCATTTATATTCTATCTATTTATACAGTTTAGGTTTACGTACATCAATAAAAAAAAATGTATATGTACTCACTACCCTGTTGGTTAATTATTAATATCACATTCATTAGATTTTAAGTCTTAACTTGTTAATATCACATACATTAAATTTTAAAGTCTTAAGTTACACAGATGAGTTTTCACAGCCTTTGAGATGTAGATTTGATAAAGCTTTTATTTCATTGGGAAGTTAATTAAAAAGTTTAGTAGCATTATAAGTTAGGCGTTTTCTTCCAATGTTGGTAACATTTGGTAACAGATGGAAATGTTGATTTGTCCTCGTGTTATATTCATGAATATCACAGTTTTGTTTTGTTTTAGCTGAATATTAGTACTTACAATATCATGCCTGATTTTATAGATTAACTTAATGCTGTCCAACTTTACAAGTTCATTTATTTTTAACAACTTTATTTCATTATACAAATCCCTGGTGTTAGTTAGTGGTGGTTTACAGAAAAGGGTTTTTATAATCTTATTTTGAGTGACTTGTATTTTATCCAAATCTTGTTTTCGAGCTTGTCCCCAGAATGCACTTAGATAGTTCAGTATGGAGTTGATATTAGCATAGTATATCTTATACTTAGTGTTCTTGTTAAACATAAAAGAAGTATGCCACAAAGTATACATCATTTTATTACACTTACTTTGTATGTATTCGATATGCTTGTTAAAAAGCAGATCCTTGTCGAGTATTAGTCCGAGGTACTTAGCACTAAGTAGTTAGGTAATAGTGAATAAATTAATTTATTATAATTGTCAAAAATTAATATTTTGTCCACGCACCATTTGCGGTATTACGCTTTGTAAACGTCTCGGCATCAAAATACATACACGGTGTATTATACACCTTAAGATATATCTAGGATGGTGCGCATGTTGGGCGGGTCTTAAATACGTCACTTGTTGAGTATTTTTAAATCTTTAATTATCTGCTGCTAAAATTCTTGTTTTTGCGATGCTGTTGAATGTTAACTTGCTCTATTTTTTTGTTTAACTTGTTAGTCGTGGAGTCAAAGACTCCAAGACTTGTAGGAGCGGAGGATTTTTTGGAAATGCGACCGTGGCATATAGGTAGACCTTTACATACAGTGCTTGCAAATCCAAGTCCGACCGGGTTGGGAAGGACGCGTGAAAATACAAAGAATAGAACGCCAAACAGAAGGCGCTTACAATACGCAGGCCTGCCGGCTCTGACCAATCAAATTCTGTTTGGCATTCTATCCTTGTTCTTTTCACGCGGGTATTGAACAACCGTCCTTCCCAACCCGGTCGGACTTGGATTTGCAAGCACTGTATATGGATCGACTCAACTTTCATTTTTTCTGTTGTCTGTTAGTCTATGTGTCTGTGTATCTGTCATCAAATTTTAAAAAAATCACAACTCTAAAATGGTACCATACCTATAATATGTGTGTTTTCGGAGACGCTCAGGTAAAGCTTACCCAGCCAGTCATAATGGCGACCGAAAATTCCAAAAGACTTTGTTACAGAGCTCAAAGTTGCAGTATTCAATACTGAGTATTGTACAAAGCACTCTTAACTTTAACATATCTTAATTTTCAACGCCTTTAAAATACAGAAAAAAACAATATCATACATAATTGAGGTATTTTTAGGAAATAGGAAATTTTTAAACCGTTTTAGAACCCGTTTTGGGTAATTATCATGCGCAGTGAAAACAATCCTAAACTCGTAAAATATATTAATATTAATTTTTACTAACCTTTAAGATGATCAATAATTTGAAAAGAATCTGGATGCAAAGTATTTTCTCCCATAAGAACGTGACAGCCTATAATTGGCACAAGTTTACAAGGTTCCCTTTTAAAATCAGATCTGCTATGTCCCTTAAAAGATTTTGGGGAAAAGTAGACAAGCGACGTTGCCCAAATTTGAAGCCAATATCTTTGCCAATATGATACAGTTGGTTTTCTACCATCTTTTAATAAAGTCTTTCTTCTAACACAACCTTGCATTGTGCACACATTGTCCTCGGAAGCAATTGAATCCTCAGTTACTCTAAAATTTAATACTGAATAGTTATATCTGGGAACTGAAAGTACAGGGTGTTTCAAAATATGTGTCTGGTAATAAAGGATGTGTTTCATTGGTCTATTCTAAGAAAAAATGTTTTTTAACGACATCTCAGGACCCGTTTAAAATACAAAACTCAGCTCTTGTACACATCTTATTATAAATATTATATTTTTAAACCCTAATTCAATTTTTTCATTTGCCCGTGACGGAGATTTTAGGGTTACGTGAGGTTTTTTCCCCAAATTTATATGAATACCTCGCTACTTTTTTCATGTTTTTTTATCACAAAAGGCCGTTCCACGTTAGAGCTTTTGAACAAGAGTACCTTTTAGTGTAAAAAATATTAGCCGTTCAAAATGTGCTTTTAAAATGCCAATTTCCCCAGTGTCAGAAATACCAGGTAAAAAAACGTCACGAAACCCTAAAATCTCTGTCACTGACATAAAAAATAAGCGCTTTAAAAGTAGTTAATATTAATGATAAGACGTGTACAAAAGCTGAGTTTTGTATCTCAAACGGTTCCTGAGATATAGTCAAAAAACTTGATACCCTTTATCTCAAAAACGGTGCGTATGCAAACCCAAGTTCATAGAATTTTTTTTCTCTTAGAATTAGCCAAGGAATCCCACCCTATTTTCTGACAGATGTTTTAAACCCCCCTGAATAATAATTAAACTAATTGTCTAATAATGTAAAATGTACCTAGTTAATAAAGTACAATTTTCGGCTGTATTCTGTGACGCTTCTAGCGGCAACTCTGTAGTTGGAGAAGAACTATCGTGACACAATGAATTTAATCTTGATGAATCTTCTAATTCAGAATCGTCCAAAAGATGCAGTGCTTTTGGTAGATCTTTGGGATCAAAACTACCCACTTGATGTGATTTACTAAATATGCTAAAAAATTATATTTAAGATATTGATGCGATTTATTAAATATTCTAATTTTAAAGCTTTTAATTTATTATTAACATCTTCATTCAACATTCTACGCACAAAATATGTACCTACACTACTTGCACATAACACTATATTAACATCCTTGCATATATATATATATATATATAGGCACTAGGGTGCTTCATTTTAGAGCGACATTTTTTTTTCAATGTCCCACCTGAAAATCTTATAACCGGTCAGAAAACAAAAATTTTGAGCTATTACAAAGCTCTTAATCTTTATTTTAAGCCGTTGCTATTCAATTTTTAAAAATTTCCCTTTAAAAACCATTAAAAAAAAATGTTTTATTCTTTTCTCCCTCCGCTCGCACAGTAAGAATATTTTTTTCGAATTTCGGTTCTAAAATCTTTATACATGATGAAATTATCTTCAAAAATGTCTATTTAAGCAAGTTGAATATGTTCTTCACAAATTGCTGTTCTACTCGAAAATCTTCTACAATAGCAGTAAATCGTATTTGGAGACTAAAGTATTGATTGTAGATAAAAAACGTAAATAACAATTTTGTAGGGATTATTGTGCTCTACAAATTTGTCAAAAAATATTTTTCTGTATCACTTATAGTTTAGCTTGTACAGCCACTCTTTTACGTAACTCTAATAGTATAGTTATTACAGTCAGAAACTGAATTTTTAAGAATTTGACACTTTGGGTGGCTGTACAAGCTAAACTATATGTGATACAGAAAAATATTTCTTAACAAATTTGTAGGGCACAAAATTCCCTACAAAATTGTCATTTACGTTTTTTATCTACAATAAATAGTTTAGTCTCCAGTTACGATTTACTACTATTTTAGATGATTTTCGAGTAGAACGGCAATTTGTGATAGGTTCTTCAACTTACAGACTTGCTTAAATAGACATTTTTGAAGATAATTTCATCCTCTATGAAGATTTTAGAACCGAAATTCGAAAAAAATATTCTTACTGTACAAGCGGAAGGAGAAAAGAATAAATCATTGTTTTTTAATGGTTTTTAAAGGTAAATATTTGAAAATTGAATAGCAACGGCTTAAAATAAAGATTAAGAGCTTAATAATACCTCAAAATTTTTGTTTTCTGACCGGTTACAAGATTTTCAGGTGGGACATTGAAAAAAAAATGTCGCTCTAAAATGAAGCACCCTAATAGGCACACCGACTTCCAAAAAAAGTGGCGCACTTGAATTTTTTTGCTTTCCTTTAAAATTTTCTTTCTATTTAAAATTTGTTTATGGTTTTATTTGCATAATTTCATCGTCAATTTTTGACAATAGTCATATAAAAAGACATAAGTGTTCAGATTCTGTGTTCTTTTTAATTACTTTTAAGCTTTGAGGTAATCAAAAAAATTGCAATTTCACCATTTTGAAAAATTTATCATCTTAGATTGAACGCGGCAATTAATTTTGACACTTTAAAATGTAAATTAAATCCGAAGAAGTTGCAAAAGCAGTAGCGTTGGTGGAAGATGGGCGTTGAAAAAACCAGAAACTACCATTCGAAGGGCGCTCCGTCAAACAAACATGATGACCCGGTGTCATAAATCGCTCAAAGACTTTTGGGTGCAAGACATAGAATTGCTCAAACAGTTAGACGACGTTTGGAAGAAACTGGTTTAAAGTCAAGAAGACCTGCTCGGGTACCTAGACTAACGTTGCGACAGACAACAGCGACTTTTGTTTGACCAAATTCACCAAGGTTGGAATGAAAATGATTGGAGGTGTGTTTTGTTTTTAGATGAATCCCGGACCGGGATTCCCGGTTTATCTTGCGTTCACCTGACGGACGCCATAGAGTTTGGAGAAGACGAGGTGAAAGGTATAGTGCAGCTACTGTGGTGGAGCAAGAGAATTTTTGGGCTGGCATTTCATTAGACGCAAAAATAGAGCTTTTTATTCTTCGAGAAAGTTCTTTAAATGGAAATTCTTACATTAGAGACATTCTTGAATATTATGTTATTCCGTTTGCCCCTTTTATTGATCCAAATTTCTTGTTTATGGAGGATAATGCAAGGCGATATGTGTATATTTAGAGGAGCCCAGACATTAATACAATTGATCAGGTATCCCTGCTTAAAATACCCCATAGAGACCCTGTTCAAACCGATAGATATTTGTATCGGAATGTATGGTGTTTTTATAGAATGTATCGGTATGTATAGGACCCATAGTTGGGATTTATGGTTGTTCTATAGGGATATCCACCCTTGATTTATTTGCTATTGGTTTTAATGGGGAAAATACACATAAATGTAGAAATTAGTTTTTTCCCCATAGAACCCTATAGGTTTTAATAAAATTTTGACAAATGTCTTATGGTTGCTGTATAGGGATATCCCTATATATCCTTCATTGAGTTATTTGCTATCGGTCTCAATAGGGAAAATGTAAAAGTTATGATGTGCCTATAGACGCAAAAATAGAGCTTTTTATTCTTCGAGAAAGTTCTTTAAATGGAAATTCTTACATTAGAGACATTCTTGAATATTATGTTATTCCGTTTGCCCCTTTTATTAATCCAAATTTCTTGTTTATGGAGGATAATGCAAGGCGATATGTGTATATTTAGAGGAGCCCAGACATTAATACGATTGATCAGGTATCCCTGCTTAAAATACCCCATAGAGACCCTGTTCAAACCGATAGATATTTGTATCGGAATGTATGGTGTTTCTATAGAATGTATCGGTATGTATAGGACCCATAGTTGGGATTTATGGTTGTTCTATAGGGATATCCACCCTTGATTTATTTGCTATTGGTTTTAATGGGGAAAATACACATAAATGTAGAAATTAGTTTTTTCCCCATAGAACCCTATAGGTTTTAATAAAATTTTGACAAATGTCTTATGGTTGCTGTATAGGGTTATCCCTATATATCCTTCATTGAGTTATTTGCTATCGGTCTCAATAGGGAAAATGTAAAAGTTATGATGTGCCTATAGGTAATTTCCTATACATTTTCTATCGGTCCGTATCCGGAAAAAACCATGGACAAATGCACATATTGAATCCGGTAGCGCCCGATAGATTATTTTGTATAGGTCCCTATGGGGTATTTTAAGCAGTGATGGGATCAATCATAGAGACGACTTAGCTCGACCTGTTCGTACAAGAAAAATGGGAGAATCTTGATCAGAACTTATATAATAATATTTAAAGTGTGCCTAGACGAATTGCTGCTTTGATGCAAGCCCGAGTGGGCAACACACGGTATTAACAAGAATTAAAACAAAGTTTTTATGATTTGATTCAGGAATCTCCATCCAAAAATGTTGATGGTATTTTCGATTTTGGTAAATTTTTGATTTTTAAGGCCCAGTTGTATAAAAGTCCGATTAAAAACAGATTAATAAATTACGGATTAATCAATAATAGCTGGTTGAAGAAAATTTTGTTGTGGAACACTCGGTTATGTTTTTTAAAATTAAAATTAGTTAATTTTCAAATTTAGGGGAATTCGCTAAAAAAATCCCCAAATTTTCGTATTTGTCATATCATAATTTTTGTAATTGTCAAATTGACCATGACCTCCTCAAATTCATAATAATAACTTTGTTGTCTAGAAAGATTTTAGTAAGTAGGTACGAGTATAGTGGTATTTATTTATTTATTGCATACAATAATGTGCAATTGTAAGTAGCTTTAATTATATTTCTTCTTTTAGGTATGTTTTGTGATATTGGTTAAAGGTTTTAATATTTTGTACAAGTTATACAAAAAAATGGCTTTAGCAATAGCTGTTGGTCAAAAATGAAAGATTGTGGTAAAACTGTCGCTAACTTCAGTGGAAAATAATCTTGGCTATTGCTTTTAATATGTAGTTGAAAAATATAAAAACATTGTAGAATGCAAAATGAACCCGTTACTAAAAATCGTAAAGTTAATTCAATCATTTGCCTAAAACAAAGCGCTTATTTTGTATTAGTTCTTAAAGAAATTATGGCTGATATTTCTTTATTTCAAAAAGTTATAATATTTTTTGAAAGACGAAATCTGTTTCTGTATTCTACTATATTTAAATCTGTAAAATATTTAGGTCTAGCACGAAAGTTTCGGTTTTCTAGGAAAAATAACACTTTCTACTAATTATAAAAAAAATCTTCATCATCCGTTAAATGTTCTACCATTTTAATACTAACAAAAAAATAATGAAAATTTTTAAACGTTGACATTTATAAGGTTAACCACACAAAATTCACCGATTTGTTAATTGTATGTTGATCACTTAATTAAATTATAATCAATGTTTATAAAACTTGTTAGCTTAATCATTACATAATTATTATCAATAGTTAGCTTAATCATTACATAATTATTATCAAGAGTTAACCAGCTGTTTACCAACTGTTATACAAATGGGCTTAAGTGTTTTATGTGTATAAACCATGCTTTATTTTGTTATTTTTTTATAAACTTAAATTTTATCCTTTAATGTGTTTAATTTGAATTTCCAAATGAAAAACTTTGTCTTACTTTAAATACTTTATTTATAAAATGAAAATAATGTAGTTCGCCACTTTTTTTGGAAGTCAGTGTAATATATATACATATGCATATATACAGGCCCCGCCTTGTAAGTTGGCGAGGCTCGACACATGCGGGCATAGCTCTTGATACTTGTATACAGCCTAACAGCGGTGTCAAAGATTAAGATTAAATTTTGAAGATTGAAATAAACATAATAATTTTATATTATTAAAAAAATATTAAATATTAATATTAAAATATTGTAGATACTTTTTATTTAATATCCAGATATAAATAAAACATTCATTGGTACAATTACTTAAATAATAATAATTAATATTCTTCTAAAAAAACTGTCGTCATTGCTACTATCATCTGAAACTTAAAAAAAATATGGCACAATCACTTAAATAAAGAATAACCAAAGGCTCACAGTTCAAACCAAAAGTTCAGTATCCAATGGATACTATCCATAATGCGAAA